GGAAACGAGCGATGGAAGACTGGAGACATCCCTGGGGCCGGCTCTGCCGCGGGACATTCCCGTGGGCATCCTTCCAGCCGGAGCGCCGGGGCTGCCCTCCGGGGACGGCAGGCGCGCGTGGCCAAGCGCGCGCACGCGCACTCGTGTACACACACCGGCGCGCGCGCACACACTACACACACACACACACACACACACATGTACACACACCGGCGCGCGCGCACACACTACACACACACACACACACACACACTCGTGTACACACACACACACTCGTGTACACACACCGGCGCGCGCGCACACGCTACACACACACACACACACACTCGTGTACACACACCGGCGCGCGCGCACACACTACACACACACACACACACACACATGTACACACACCGGCGCGCGCGCACACACTACACACACACACACACACACTCGTGTACACACACACACACTCGTGTACACACACCGGCGCGCGCGCACACGCTACACACACACACACACACACACACACACACACTCGTGTACACACACCGGCGCGCGCGCACGCTACACACACACACACACACACACACTACACTCACACTCACACTCACACACACACACACACTCACACACTCGTGTACACACACCGGCGCGCGCACACGCTACACACACACACACACACTCACTCACACACACTCTCTCACACACACACACACACACACACACACACACACTCACTCACTCACACTCACACACACACACACACACACACACTCACACACACACACACACACACACACACACACACACACACACACACACACACACACACACACACACACCACACACACACAATAAGGCCTCCTCCCCGCTCCCCTCACCCCCCCACCCCCCCCACGGGGGCGGGCTGCTCTCGTTAAAGAGCGGACGGTCTCCGCGCAAACCCAGGCTCTGTTAGGCCCCGGGGGCCAGGGCCCGAGCTGCCGGCAGCCAATGGGCGCGGCGGAGCGGCTCGAGCGCGGCTGACGCTGCACCAATGGGCGTGCGCGGGGGGCGGGGGCAGCGGCGGAGACACTATTGTTGATGAGGAGAAGCGGCGGCGGCGGCTGCACCACCTCCTCGCTGCCGGCCGCGGCCCGGGCGCCCCCCGCACCCCGGATTCCGGCCTCGTCACCCCGTCGCGGGGCCTCCTCTTCGGCCTCGAGAACCTTTCCCCTTCAACCCAACCACCACCCCCGCCCCCCGTCTCGCCCAGTCACCGGGGAGCGTGGACCCATGTCCCAGCGGATGAGGCGCAATGGGTCCCCCACGCCGGCCGGCTCCCTCGGGGGCGGTGCGGTCGCCACGGCCGGGGGAGCCGGGAGCCGCCTGCAGCCCATGAGGGCGACGGTTCCGTTCCAGCTGAAGCAGCAGCAGCAGCAACATGGCAGCCCCACGCGGAGCGGCGGCGGCGGCGGCGGCGGCGGCGGCGGCAACAACAACGGTGGCTGCTGTGGTGGCGCCTCAGGCCCCTCGGGCGGCGGGGGCCTGCGCACGGCCTCGCGCAGCACCAGCCCCACTCGCGGCGGCGGCGGCGGGAGTGCGGCCGCGCGCACCAGCCCCACCGTGGCCACGCAGACCGGCGCGTCTGCCACCTCCACGCGAGGCACCAGCCCCACGCGCGGCGCCGCGCCCGGAGCCCGCGGGAGCCCCCCACGGCCGCAGCCCCCGCCGCCGCTGCTGGGCACCGTCTCGTCGCCGTGCTCGTCGCCCACCCACCTGTGGACGGGCGAGGTGAGCGCGGCCCCACCCCCGGCCCGCGTCCGCCACCGGAGGCGGTCCCCGGAGCAGAGCCGCTGCTCCCCGGAGAGGCGGAGCCCCAGCGCCCCCGTTTGCAAAGCAGGTACGTGCTGGGGGGCCCGGCGGCGCGGGGAAGGGGCCGGGGCGCGCGTCGCTACCGCGCGGGGACTGCGGCGCTGCGGCGGGGCCCGGGCGGCCGGGGGCGGGGCCCGAGTGGGGCGGACCCGCCTGCCCCGCGGGGGCCCCCCTCCCCATCCCGTGGCCCTTCCCTCCCCCCCCCCCCCCGCAGGTCCCCGCCCGCCTCATTCATCCCTCACCTCAGCCAGTCCACGCTTGTCCCCGACCGCGGAGGGGCCGCCGCTAACCGCGTGCGGGTTCTGATGTGTGTGGATCCGTGGTCGGCAAACTGCGGCTCTTTGGCCCCTGGAGTGTGGCTCTGCCACAAAAGACCACGGCCTGGGCGAGTCTATGTTGAAGAAGTGGCGTTAGAAGAAGTTTACGTTTCAAAAATGTGGCTCTCAAAGGAAATGTCGATCGTTGTCCTGTTGATACTTGGCTCTGTGGGCTAACGAGTTTGCCGACCACGGGTGTGGATGCTAACCCTGGGGTTCTGGCCGCCCGCTGGTTCCTGCTGTCCTGCTCACCCCCCTTGGGTGGCGAGGTGGGAGTGGGCGGCCACTGTGTGTTGGTGCCCTGGTTCCCGTGAGTGCAGCCCCCTGCTGCCAGGCATTTCTCTCAAAACGGCCCCGGGTTTGCGGGACTGAAGACGTCAGCACAGCAGAGTCGGGTCCCTGCAGAGTCGGGAGGCTGGGAGAGAAGGAAAGGCAGAAGGTTCCTGGGGAAGGTTTATGGGCTTTGTCTGAGGGTCTGCCTGTATTTCTGACACACCGACTGATTTTGTGTGTAGGATGTGAAACCATTCATTTGTTTTTTCTAAAAAAGGAAATCCAGGTTTTTCTATTATTTTAGGGACCTAAAAATTGTTGTTTTTCTCTATACCCGAGAAAGGTCCCTGGAAAGGTCCTGAACGGAGTAGTTGGATTCTAGTAGAGCCATTCATAAAGAGGAACTCAGTAGAGAAATTCAGATTGGGGAAATAGAGGCAACGTTTATTATCTGATTGCCTTTCTGTTAGAATCTAGTGAAGAAAGATACGGGTGGTTTTTAGCTTGTGTGTGAATACTGTCAACATACACCGTTGTCTTCCCTTTTTCTGGGGAATTTCTGTTAAAATCTCTCAGGCAGAATGGCTGGGAATTTCAGGAAACTGTACAGTACTTCCTAACCAAATAAAGCAGATGAAGTGATTTCAAAGGTTCATTCAGAAATGCAGGGAGTAGGGTGAATCTTTCCTATTTATTTTATCAGATTTTATTTTATCAGATTTTTGGGAGAGAATTGCCCTGAAAAATGATCAATAGTGTTTTCTAATTAGAGCCAGAGTACTGATTTAAGTATTTTGAAAATGCAAATGCTTTTAAAAAACTGATTGTTAAAAGTACTAGAACATCCTCTTCTTCAAATAATAGCTACCACTTTACTGAGCTTCCGCCATAATGGTGGGTGATTTACCTACAAGTTCTCATTTTAATTTTCACAGTAGGTTTTAGAGAGCTTAAGTAACAAGGATTAGAGTTGATATTTAAACTCTGCTGCGTGATACTTCAAAACTATCTTTTACCTTATATCAAGGAGATAACTTTATGATGTGTAAGATAGAACCTGGGAAATACATTGCACACCAAGGTTGCATGTGCTTAGTTTTTGAAGTAACTCTTTGAGGTATCTGGTGAACATAATTGCTCCAGTTTACTTTCAGACCTCTGGAGCTGGCATAGTGTGTGGCAGGTAGAAGGGAAGGAGAGCTGCTGACGTGGGCAGTAGAGATGGAGGTAGGAGGTGGTGACTGCATTCTGATAATAGACTCTGGCTACCCTCCTAACTGTTTGACCCTTGAAGCAGAGCAGCAGTCTAGGGAGAGGGTAAAATTAGGTATTGGCAATGTGTGGAGAAAGGTGCTCTTTTCTTCTGATCTCTAGAACGGAGTTGTTGGATTTCCAGGGATCCCAGGCTCCTGAGTGCCCATTCTTCCCATGGCTCCCTTCCCTCAGATCTGTTATTCCATAGAGTATTCATGCTGTTAAATTAACCCTCTCATTACCCACCCTCCAAAAAACACCCCCAAAAGTAAAAAACTCTTTTTCCTCTAATGCAGCACTCTCAACTGAAAAGGGATACCATCTGTTACTAAGTTATACTGAAGTGGATGTCTGATAGCTTCCTTTCCAGGATTGTGTTCTTGTTTCACTCTAGTGAACTTCCATGCAGAGTAGAACAAACAATTTTCAGATTTCAAGTCTTCGTAGCACAAACTAGACCATTTGCATTTTGCTTTTTTTTCTCAGACTAAAACTGTAAAGCGAGAAAAGGAAAAAGAGTATGTATGTATGTATATATGTATTTATTTATTTATTTACTAGAGGCCCTGTGCACGACATTCGTGCACTAGGGGAAGGGGGTTCCCTCAGCCTGGCCTGCACCCTCTCACAGTCCAGGACCCCTTGGGGGATGTCTGCCTGCCGGCTTAGGCCTACTCCCTCCGGGCAGGTGGACATCCCCCGGGGTCCTTGGTGCTGCTGTGGAGGCAGGAGAGGCTCCCACCACCACCGCTGTACTTGCCAGCTGTGAGTCCGGCTTCTGGCTGAGCAGCGCTCCCCCGTGGGAGCGCACTGACCACCAGGGGGCAGCTCCTGTGTTGAGCATTTGCATCCTGGTGGTCAGTGCATGTCATAGCAACCGGTCGTTCTGCCGTTTGGTTGATTTGCATATTAGCCTTTTATTATATAGGATTTTTATTGATTTCAGGAAGGGAGAGGGAGAGGGAGAGATAGAACATCAATGATGAGAGAGGCCCTAGCTGGTTTGTCTCCGTAGATAGAGCGCCGGCCTGCAGATTGAAGGGTCCCAGGTTCGAAGCCAGTCAAGGGCACATGCCTGAGTCAAGGGTACATGCCTGGGTCAAGGGTACATGCCTGGGTTGTGGGCTCGATCCCCAGTAGGGGTTGTGCAGGAGGCAGCTGATTAATGATTCTCATCATTGATGTTTCTATCTCTCTCTCCCCTCTCCCTTCCTCTCTGAAATCAATAAAAATATATTTTAAAAAATGATGAGAGATAATCACTGATTGGCTGCCTCCTGCATGACCCCTACTGGGGATCGAGCCTGCAACCCGGGCATGTGCCCGTGACTGGAATCGAACCTGGGACTCTTAGTCTGAAGGCCAATGCTCTATCCACTGAGCCAAACCGGGTAGGGCTATTTTACTATTGATTTACTTTAGAGAGAGGAAGGGAGACAGAGAGAAAGAGAGAGAGAAACATTTCTTTGTTATTCCACTATTTATGCATTTGTTGGTTGTTTCATGTATGTTGCCCTGACTTGAGATCGGACCCCCAACCTTAGCTTTTTGGGATGATGCTCTGATCTCTGAGCTAAAAACCCAGGGCCTAAGGAAGAGTCTTTTAGATTAGAGGTCAGTTTACAGCCTCAGTGAAATTTAGAAAACTTTACTGGTAGAGGGAAGTGTCCACCTTACATAGTTTTGTAAACCTCATCTGACTCAAATTCCAGGGTCCGTGTCGATCAGGCTACCACTTTCTGGGTGTCTCTGAGATGAACTGGATGCCATAACCTTTAATAGGGATCCAGGATCTAAAAGTCTGAGTTGAAGATCTCAGGATCCTTAGAGGGTTGTTCCTATTCTGCTGGATTCCTGCACAGTTGCCTTATTCCTCCAGGTGTAGAGCTACTCATTGGCTCTTTGAGAACTCCCCTTTTCTTGACTACTATTTGGCAGTGATTTTCAACCAGTGTGCCTCAAGAATTTTTACAACATGCAATACCTGACTAGTCAGGGCCCTTAGATTGTGAAATAAAAAAATGACAATAGCCAACACAACAATAGCCATCTGGTGTAAATGAATCAAAATTATACCTATTTTTTTGTCAGATCAGCATAAAATATATTATTTTAATAATTAGTTTATGTGCCATGAGATGAAAAGGGTTGAAAATCGCTGCAATAAGGTAATCCAAGCACCCATCTCTGACAGATAATTTTTTTCAATTACATCCCATATTTTTCTGTATTTGTTTCAGATGTACAGCAAAGTGGTTTGAAAATCATGTACCACTGCTTCAAGTACCCACTTGGCCCCATACAGTTATTGATATTACTGACTATATTCCCTATGCTGTAATCTACATCTCTGTGACTGTACTGTAACTACCAATTTCTACTTTTTCACCCAGCTCTCCAACCCCTCTTCCCTCTGATAACTGTCATTCTGTTCTCTGCATCTATGAATCTGTTTCTATTTTGTTTTTTTTATTTTGTTCATTAGATTTCACATATAAGTGAAATCATATGGTATTTCTCTTTCTGAGTTATTTCACTTAGCATAGTACTCTTAGGTCCATCCATGCTGTCACAAAAGGTAAGATTTCATTCTTTTTTTAAGGCCGGTTGGTATTCCATTGTGTAAATGTACCACAGCCGTTTTATCCATTCATCTTTGGATGGGCACTTGAGTTGCTTCCATAGCTTGACTATCCTAATATATAAAAAGCCAGGGGCCCTCATGACCAAAACAACTGGACGGACGACCGAACAACAGGCTGTGTGGGGCAACCAGGCCGGCAGGGGGGGCAGTTAGGGGCGTCCAGGCCATTGGGGGGGCAGTTTGGGGCGACCAGGCTGGCAGGGGGGACAGTTAGGGATGATTAGGCCAGCAGGCAGAGGCTGTTAGGGGTGATCAGGCAGGCAGGCAGGCAGGCAGGTGGGCATTTAGGAGCCAGCGGTCCTAGATTGTGAGAGGGATGTCCGACTGTCGGTTTAGGCAGGCTGGGCTGAGGGGGACCCCCTCCCCCCATACATGAATTTCGTGCACTGGGCCTCTAGTCTATAATAATAAAAGTGTAATATGCTAATTAGACTGGACAGTTGAACTACCTTCCTGACGTCCTTCTGGATGAAGCCGGGCTCTGAGGGGCAAGGCAAGCCGCAGCGGCTGTGAGGGCTGAGCCCCTTGCACAAATTTCGTGCGTGAGGCCCCTAGTTGTAAATAATGCAGTGAACATAGGGATGCATATATTATTTGAATTATATATGTTTCAGGTTCCTTTGGATATATTCACAAAGTGGAATCACTGGGTCATAAGGAAATTTCATTTTTAATATTTTCTTAAAATCCTCACCTGAGGATTTTTACTAATTTTTAGAGGGGGGAAGAGAGAGACAAAGAGAGGGAGAGAGAGAAACATTGATCGGTTGCCTCCTGCATGAGCCTCAACAAGGCCCAGGGATCAAACCCATAACCTAGGCATGTGTCCTAAATGGCAGTCAAATCCGGACCTTTCGATGACACTCATACCACTTCCCCACACTGGCCAGGGCAATGAAAATAATTTCATGGTTGGGGGTCACCACAACATGAGGAACTGTATTAAAGGGTTGCGGCATTAGAAAGGTTGAGAACCACTGGCTTAGAGAAAGGTAAGTTGGCAACAGTGTTAACTGTAGATAAAATAATGAAGAAGGTGAGGTTTGTTTTTGTGCCTTCCCTCTTTTTACCTCATTTGTCTTAATAAAATGTCAAATATATATATTTGAAATGGAGAGGTAGCATAACATGGAGGTTAGGAGCATAGGCTTTGGGTTGACAGTCTGGGTTTAATACCTGTGTATTGCCACCTAGAAACTATGTGATATTGGAAAGTGAATAACTTTCTGACCCTTAACTTTCTCATCTGTATGAAAAAGGTAATGATGGATATCACTTTCATCTGGTGGTAAGGATTACATGAGAGAAAATTTTAAAAAAGTACTGTACCTCATCATAAAAGTTGGCTATTGTGTATCATATTAGTTTGCTTCTAGTTTTAGTGAATGTAATATAAATTGCCAATGTAGGCTTAGTTTTCATGGTTGTATGAAATTTCATGTTGGAGAGAGTATTGACCTGTGAACATCCAGAACTGTTTCTCAAAGTGTGGTCTAGTTCATCTTTATCAGAATCACTTAGGGTCCTTGATAAAAATTCAGGTTACCAAACCCTAGTGCAGACCTTGAAAGCCTCATCTCCACCCACTGTGATTTTGCTGTACTCTCAAACAAAAAAAGTGACTAGAAGCACCAAAAGAAAATCTGAAAAGTCCTCATTAGAAAAAATGTAAAAGTTATTTTTTGCAGTGTGGCTGATACGTAGACAGCAAGTTGTGTTTTTGCTAATTTCTGGATGTATTATGTTGTGTATGAATTTGGTTGTTTATTAGAGTGGAGGAAGTGGCAAGAGCAACAACAAGAGATAGAGGTCTCTAGACTAATAATCAGGGTATCAGAACTTAATATTTGCAGCATCTTAGACTTGTACTGTACTTTTGTTGTTAATCCTCACCTGAGGATATTTTTTCTATAGATTTTTAAAAAAATATGTTTTTATTGATTTTTTTTCTTTCTAGAGAGAGAGGGAGAGAGAAGGAGACAGAGAAAAAGAAACATCAATGATGAGAGAATCATTGATGGGCTGCCTCCTGCACGCCCCACACTGGAGATTGAGCCCACAACCTGGGCATGTGTCCTGACCGGGAATCGAACCATAACCTCCTGCTTCATGGTTCAACCATTGAGCCACACTTGCTAGGGTTTCCCCCCTTTTTGAACAAATAATTATGTTTAGTATATCCCTTCTTCTTGTTAAATGATTTTGTGGATAACAGGAACTACAGCCTTTAAGTCAGTAGCTGATCAGGTTTTAGAACCTTTATAATGTAATACCTAGGGCCATGGTTTGGGATGCTCCACTGTCATTGAAGCAACACAGGAACCAGTTGAACTAGTACAGGTGGTTTAGGCATTCCGAACTCCTTTGACGGAAATTTTTAATGCCACACCCTATTGTAGTTAACTTCTGTAAAGATTTGATTTTCTTGTGTGTTTTTTTTTTAATTGAGATATAATTAACAAATTAAATTGCAAGACATTTAAAGTGTACATCGTGATTTGATATCCATTGTAAAAGGATTGCTCCCATCTAGTTTATTCGTCACCTCACATATTTTTCTCCTTCTCCTCCTCCTTTTACTACGCCTCCTCCTCCTTTTGTGAGAACATTTAAGTTCTATTTCTTAGAATATTTCAATTATACAACAGTGTTGTCAACTATAGTCACCATCCTATCTAATAAAGAGGGAATATGCTAATTGACCATCACTCCATCACAAAGATGGCTGCACCCACAGTTGAGGTCAATTTCCCATAAGGAGCCTTAATGAGCAATCAGCAGGGACCTGAGGCTATGCCCGCCCCTGCCCCCGTGGGGCTTGATAGGGGATCTCAGGCCACGCCCCCCACCTGGCGGGGCTTGACGGGGGCACCTCAAAAGGTGCCCTTCCCATCCTGGTGCTGGGCTAGGGGACCTCAGGCTGCTCCCCCTGCCCCAGCGCCAGGCTGGGGTACCTCAGACCATGCTCCAAACCTGGTGAGGCTTGACAGGGGACTTCAGGCTGCGCCCCCTGCCTGGCGGGGCTTGACAGGGTACCTGAGGCTGCGCCCCCCCGCCTGGCAGGGCTTGATGGGGGACCTTAGGCTATGCCCCCCACCCAGTGGGGCTTGACGGGGGACCTCAAGGCCTCACCCCCCCTCCTGGCACTGACAAGGGTGGGACTGGCCGGGTCTGGATCTAGCCCAATTGGGGGGGGCGGGGGCGGGCAGGTCTGGGTCTCACGCGATTTTGAGGTGCATGTGGGTGGGCTGGGACTTGACTCTGGTCCTGTGGTGCGTGACAGGAGGAAGGTTTTCATATACATTTTACTAATTTTCTTTCATCTCTGACACTTCTATTATAGAGAAAGGGCAAATAGCAATATTAAATTATTTCCTCTAATCCCCCCCTTTTATAAAAAAATATTTTATTGATTTTCTTTTACAGAGAGGAAGGGAGAGGGATAGAGAGTTAGAAACATCGATGAGAGAGAAACATCGATCACCTGCCTCCTGTACACCCCCTACTGGGGATGTGCCCGCAACCGAAGTACGTGCCCTTGACTGGAATCGAACCTGGGACCCTTCAGTCCGCAGGCCAATACTCTATCCACTGAACCAAACTGGTTAGGGCTAATTAATCCCCTTTTAATGTGCACACATTTCGTGTACCGGGCCACTAGTATTATACATAAGATCTCAGACCTTACGTACTTATAGCTGAAAGTTTGTACCTTTCATCAACCTCTCCCTATCACATCGCCTCCTTT